ACAGGTCTCCAGTCCCTCACAGGGACACCTGGACAGGTCTCCAGTCCATCACAGGGACACCTGGACAGGTTTCCAGTCCCTCAAAGGGACACCTGGACAGGTCTCCAGTCCATCACAGGGACACCTGGACAGGTCTCCAGTCCATCACAGGGACACCTGGACAGGTCTCCAGTCCATAATAGGGACATATAGGGACAATTTAGAGTTACCAATCAGCCTAACATGCATGTTTTTGGTCTGTGTGAGGAAACCGGAGTATTCGGAGAAAACCCACGCCGCACGGAGAGAACATGTAAACTCCACACAGAAAGGCACCCGGCTGGGATTCGAGCCAGCGACCTTCTCGCTGAGAGCTGGCAGCTCTACCAACTGCACCACTGTGCTGTCCCAAATTAATGTGTCTTTCTAAAAACAAAAACTGTACAAATCATTGTATTTGTTTTTGCTGACATCGTGCACAACTTCTTTGAAAATGGAGTGTAAATAACAACAAAATTCTAAAGGTGCTTCTTTTTCAAGTTGCTTAACGTATAAAGTGTTTCTGTAAAAGTGTTGCAGTGTTTCAGTTTGAGTCATCCAGAAGTCTGAGCTGTTGCTAACTACCACTTTATTCAGTCTAATTGAAAAAATGAAGGACAAACGGCACAAAAGCCGAGAGAAAGTGTCTGCAGAGACTTCACCTTTTCAATCACTAAACTGTTTTTATCCGTGGATAACCTTAACTTTCAGCTTGGATGAAATACATCATGCAATGTGTGCATCTGATTACTTTAAAAAATGTTGCACTAATAAATATATATATTTAAATGCCAACATTTAGACAGTGCAATGTCTTAATGATGCATTCAAGTGCAACGTGTAAATTAAAGAAATTGCACTGAAAAATGAGCTACTCTAATATAAACAGAAAATTGTCCATTAAGTTTACAAGAAGTGTTTTGCTTTTATTACAAATAATAATAATAAAATATCAGTAATATCTGTGGGTTACTGTCGACATTTAAGATTTCTTTGATCCTGTTAGTTCCCAAAGCACACTTTAAAAATGTTTTTTTTTGTTTCACTGCAATATCTTTAAATAATTATTTGTTGTCTGTGCGTCCATCCTAAGATGACATGAGACATGCATAAAGAGATCAAATAAATAAAGTCAAAGGTGGTGGAGAGCATTTCTTCATGAACGGTTGGCGTGTTAGGAAAAACACCAAATTCAAGAAAACTGTTTAATAAAGACACTTCTTCTTTTTCTTTCATGTGTAGCAGATTATTGTCTGCTTATGGAAGAGGATTTAAGTGTTCCTCTGTGGTTTATTAAACCAGCCTGGGGTGCTTCTGCCCCCCCATGGTACTGTAGTCCAGTTGGACCAAATAAAACACAATTACTTTAAGACATTGCAGTGAAACAGAACAAAAAGGGCCTTGGTAGTTATTTAAGCCAGACTAAAGTGATGTTTGTTCATTTTGTAACTGACAGTAAGTCACAGAATTTACTGATGTTTTTTAATAAAATAAGTTGAAGAAAATACAACTGTCTTACTGAAAGTTATTTTTCATTTTTTAATTTAGATCAGCTACAGTTTCAGTGTAGCTTGTTAAATATGTAGGTTGTACTTGAATGCACCATAAAGACTTGTGTGTTGCCACAAGAAGCCTTAAAAGCACAACACATGTTCTTTTAAGTGCAGATGAAACAACCGCCGGGATGAAGTAAAGCCAAATACTAAAATAAATAAACCTAAGCACTTAAATCCAAAAAAGTTCAATCTGGTCCTCTGGACATTCAAAAAAAACAAAAAACAAAAAAAACAAAAAACAAAACAAAGCAAAAAAATATAGAAACGTTTCGTCTCTCATCCAAGAGACTTCCTCAGTCTGAGGAAGTCTCTTGGATGAGAGATGAAACGTTTCTACATTTTTTTGCTTTGTTTTGTTTTTTGTTTTTTTGAATGTCCAGAGGACCAGATTGAACTTTTTTGGATTTTTCTACCTGGATTATTGAGCATGCATCAGGATACTAAGCACTTAAAGTATTTTCTTTATTTACAGGTTCACAATATTAAAAACTCCACAAAAAAAGTTATTTATGAACAGTTAGCTATCAAGTGGCACTCACAGCAGTTACGGTTCCTTTACGGTGGTCCAGCTTCACTCACGGTGTCTTCAAACGTGCCGGCCAGAACAACAACGGAACGTTCAGTGTCTGTCAACAAGTTATGGTTGAGACGTTTCTGTTTGACGCCACGTTGCAGCAGCTCCTGACTGGCAGTGAGCAGTTTCTCCTCCTCAGCTGGAGCTCATATTTCTAACGAGCCAGCTGTTGTACTCAAAGATCCACAGCTGCCAGAGGACAAAGCTGAGATGTTGCTTACTGCGTGGGATTCAGTGAGCGGCCACAGTTCCTATAGTGCAATTTGAGAAATTAAGAGTTAATCCCGTTTTCTTTGTGCTCCTCGCAGATGAGAATCTGTTTTCTGTATCCTCCAAGTTTGGGATCTACCTTTGTCCTCCAGCCTGAGTTGGTCTTGGACCCATCGACCTAACCTGCCCCGCGGGGACGCTCCAGGCCGGTACAAAAGAACGTTAAATCTTGGACCCATCAACCTAAGATTAGACGTTTTCGTACAGACATAGACGTCACTTACCTCTACATCCTGGTCCGACCAGCCGCTCTCCTACAGCGACCTGTGGACCTTACCTACCATACTCACCTCCTGGAAGCTGGACTCGTGAACCCTCGTGTCCAGGCCTGAAACCACTACAACCTGAGTAAGACCTGAGTTTTTACAAAACCTTCCAGAAGATTCTGTCCAGACAAAATTACAGCTTCATTCTGCATCCACAGTTACCCGTGTCCTCCTGATTCCAGCCCCTTGTAAATAAATGTACCAGTTCTTACCTTCAGCCTCGAGTCTTCCTGGGTTTCTGTTAACGCTGCTCCGAGGAAATGAACGTTGCAACTGTATCGGTTAAGAATCAGGATCTGGTCACGGCGCCGCTCGTCCAGCTGATGATCCACCGGAGTGCCGAGTTATTTGCTGAGCTGACTTGATTAGATAAATCCAGCCCACGGTCATTTCTTCGTAGTGAAATAAAACAAGCAGCTTCATGGAAGTAATTTATTTGTTTTCAGTCCCATCCCAAAAAATAAATGACTAAGAATAAAAACATCCATGTGTCGTTGATAAAGGTCTACTTCCAAACACCTTTTTACTCCAACTCTGCTGCTAGTTTTTCTTTTGGGGATTTAATCTTCTCTGTGAAAGGTCTCCTTGAAAAAGGCGACGCCAGCAAGCTAGCCACATGGTTCATGCCCACCATAGGCTTTGGACATAATAACAATAATCATAATAATAAATAAAGTGTTATGTGTTGTCATTGTATGTTCCCATACAAGGATGAAATTAGTTCTCTAGATTTAATCCATCACACCTGGGATGCACCCAGATGATGCAATGGGCAGCTATGAAGGCCCCTGGGGAGCACTTGGGGATTGGGTGTCTTGCTCAGAGACTCCACGACATGAGGGGATGGCTGGGGATTGAACCTGGGACTTTCAGGTCCCGAGTCTGCTGCTCTGTCCCATCTCGGCCCCATCAAACTGATAATATCTGTGTTTTTGGTCCCACTCTCTATCCACATTGTGATTGGTTCATTTTCCTGTCAGTTATTAAACAAACTTCTCCTGGAGAGCCTTTAACTCGGCTACGCCTTCTCTCCTGACAGTGAAGTCCTAACCAATGAGAAAACGCTTTAACATGTTACTGCCTGGAGATGCAAAAAAAAAAAAAAAAAAAAATCTGGATAATTTTCATGAATTTAAAAGTAGTTTACAGAAAATAAGAAACAAGCAAAAATTAAGAAAAAATCACTAAAATATGAACTAAATTAACGTAACATTGCATTGGTGCTCATTGTGTAGGCCTTCTCTGAAGGCCTTGAAGGTCCTGAGGTCTGTTTTGCTTCAGGATTAGTGACGGCAGAGCGATGATATTTAGCCTCTGTCCACATTTGTATTTTTCTATACCATCAGCAAATTATCTAAAAAATAATTAATTAGATTTTAATGAAACCGTTTAGAAAGCAATCATCAGGTTGACATCTACGACTTATAGAGTCGACCCAAAGCAATCTTACCAAACAAAAGAAGTCAAGCACCAACAGATCATGTGAGATCTTATTGGACACGATGTTATTTTCAAGGTTACATCGTTTGGTTTAAAGCTCTGCTCGGTGAATGCCCCTTTTAACTTTTCCTTCTTTTATTCGCAGGAATCTTTCCTACAACGTTTTAAACACGAACAGTAGCGACCTCAAAAGATGGAGGCAGGAACTTGTAATCTTGGCGCAGCGATGGATTCAAGCAACCCGTTGCTGAGAGCGGTTTTCCTTCGACGACTGAGGCTCACTCGGCTCCTCCTGGAGGGCGGAGCTTACATCAACGAGAGCGACAGCCAAGGCCAGACGCCACTCATGGTGGCCTGCAAGACCAAGTATGTGGACTCCCAGAGCGCCAGTCGGGGTATGCTCATCCAATTCCTCCTGAAGAAAGGAGCAGATCCCAACATTCAGGATAAGGAAGGCCGCTCTGCGCTGATGCACGCCTGCCGGGAGCAAGCTGGAACTGATGTGGTGGCCCTCCTTCTGGCCAGTGGAGCAGACCTCAGCCTCGAGGATCAATCTGGGACATCAGCGTTGGTCTATGCAGTCATGGCTGGAGACTTGAAGGTGCTGAAACTTTTGCTGGACACATGTAAGGCCAAGGGGAAGGAGGTGATCATCATAACTACGGAAAAGATTCCAAGTGGAAACCTGTCAGCCAAGCAGTACCTCAGCATGCCTCCAACTGGTCTCGATGAGCCGACAGAAACGGTCACACCAACAGCTCCTGCATCTCCGTCTGAAGTTCAGCTCATCACTTCTCCTCAGTACGCCTCGTCTTCTTTACACCCCCCCAAGCCCGTGTTTTCTTTCAAAGAAGGACAGATCTGTGGTGTCAGCTCCCACCCGTGCTCCCCATCTCGGTTCCGAGGACTCGGACCAGCAGCATCTAACGGAGCGCAGCAGCCTCTGGTGCGGTTAAACTCTGAGCCTTGGATAAAGATTCCAGCATCTCTGCTTTCCCAGCAGCCTCTGGGGCCCCTCAACAAGACGGATAGTTTCTCCTTCAGAATCCCCAAACTGGACGAGGATGGGCTCAGTGACTCCAAAACGTTCAAATGTTACGAGGGAAGGCTAAGAAAGGAAGGAGGTGCAGAAGGAGGTGGGGAGATGGATTGTGCCAAACATGGAGGACAAAATGTTTCTTTATCCGGTCTCCTGTCGTCCCACTCTGCCTCCCACCCCAACCTGCATTCTGAGATCCTCGGGGCAGATTCGGTTCCCTCTTCCTCCGCCCTCTCAGGTGGTAAAAGCCTCGGCACAGCCATTCACAGCAGCGCCTCAACGAGCCTTCGTAGTGTCAACCAGATGTACAAACTGGGCGCAGACGTCTACGGTTCTGACCCGCAACTAGCTGTAGCGCTCCCCGAAGAACAGAAACCCAGAACCTCAGCAGACAGCAAGAAACTGGCACCGTTGCGCTGCTCAAGTACAACGGGCTCCAGGGACCTCCCGGCAGGACAGAACAGAAGAGTGGCTTCTTTCTACGAGCGCAGAGGGTCTGGAACGTTCTTACTGGACCACAACCTTCAGGCGAGGCCCAGATCCCTGCCTCCTCTTACCAACACCTCCGTCCTCGCTGGTTCTAGCCCAGACAACGGAAGCTGCTTCTCCGAGAGAGAGTTCGGCCAAAGGAGCTTTCTTCCCTCGGCTCCACCCGGACACCCTAAAGATCTGAGCAGAAGGTTGCTGCTGAGGAGACACTCCATACAGACCGAACAGTTCAAAACGACAACCTGAAGCTCACGAGGAGCCAGTTCAGAGTGCTACATGTAGTTTCTGTTATGGTGTGATGTTCGGTCTGTGCAGGTAAACTCATCAAAAGATTAAAAAATTAATCCTGGGGGTTTATTGAGAAGACTGTAAGAGATGGAGACATTTGTGTTGTCACAGCTACCACCACCACAAGTCTCAGCTCTGTATGTGTAACAATGGCCAAATTAAAGCCTTTTAAATGTAGCTTTGGTGGCCATCTTGGGTTTTTTATTTGAATTCAGCATTTATTGGACATTGTTCTCAGCTACCACCACACCAAACTTCATCTTAATATCCTGATTTATAATATGTTTCCTTTTGACCTCAGGTGGCCATCTTGGATTTTTAATTTGCAACCAGTCTTTTAGGGATTGTACATTTCTGTTCATGTCCAAATCTCAGCTTTAAAATCAAATTGTGCGGAATTAGACAAAAGCTGATCACTTGTGCCTCCTTGTAGCAACAAAGACGTGAGTTAAAAGCATAAAACCTGCAGAGGTCAGAGGTTTTCCTTCCACTTGTGAACATGAAGGTCAGATTATCGCATGAAGGTCAGATTAGCACGATAGTCCGATTAGCTCCAGTCTTTGATTTTCAAAAACAAGTTCAAACTGATTGCAGATCTTTAATTCACTGATAATTAATAGGTTATTAAACATAACTTATGTATTTTCCAGTGGATGCAACTCTGCTCAACCGGTGTCACAAACAGGGTAATAAAAATACACAGGTTCACGCAGCCTCCCCGCACACTAATATTCTGCAAGTTGCACCTGGACTGTAGGGCTTTTACTGCTTTACTCTTCTCTGCAGATTTGGTAGAGTTTGGTTGATCGGTTATTTTGCATGGCTATTCTTCATCATGCACAAACTTTCATTTGGGTTGATGCTGGAGCTTCGGGAAGGTCTTAAAACTGAACAATGCGTCAGTCTCATGGACAGAAAACACAAGAGCCTGATAAATGAAAGCTCTGCCTCTCGTTCTGCTTTTGGAAACTCTAGGAACCACAAGTAAACAGAAGCCAGTTCTGATGTGTTTGGGATCATCGTTCCGTTGGAGAATCCAGCTGTGTCCAAGTTTCAACTGTCCAGCATGATGCTACCACCACCGTGCTCCACAGCTGGTACGGTGTCCTTTGGTCACCAAACCTCTCTCCAGAAGACATTTGGCCTGTCCAGGTGAACAGCTGCAGGCTTCGGTCCAACTTGAAGGTGAGGTCTTTGGAGCAAGAGTTTTTCTTGATCCTCTCGGTCCGTGGCAATGAACCGCCTTCAGCGCTGTTGGACAGAGACTCCGGCGTTTCAGCAGCTCCTAGATCATGGAAGGCTTGAGCCTTGGTGGTTCCCGTGCTGGTCCTGAACATCCTAACCAGTTTTTTGTCCTCCTTAGATCTTCAGAGTTTTTTGGACGTTCCCCACTGATCCGAGCGTTGGACAACCAAATAAATGACGTCAATTATATATAATTTTATACCAGTAAAGAGAAAGTACCAACCACCGGAAGGAGTAGACGAAAACTCCGATAACAATTAAAAAATCTACATCAGCTTCAGAAAACCATTAATGTAAGAAACTGCCGTCAGCTTGAAGTCCTGAAACAGCTTTAATAAAAGATTTATTACAGTAAAAATGCAGCCAAATTAGTGTCAAAAATCATCAAATGCATCAAACCATCAGAATCATTTAAACCAACAATAAAGAAAACAGTAAAATGTGTCGCCCCATCCCGTAAATATTTACATGCTTACATGACAGGAAATGAAAAAAGACATAAGAAAACAAAAACTATTGAAAATATCTAAATGCTCCTATTAATGCAGTCAGTTTGGACTGCTGTGTCTGTTAAAATAAAATAAATATAAAAAACAGACTTCTAATACAAACCGTGGTATAATACAAAACACGATTGTTTCTCGGCTGCTTAAAGACAACCAGCGTGGATTAACCTGCGTATGTCGGCTGGATCTTCAGGGCTTCGTCCAAAAATGCCAGTCTGATTTTACAGAGTCCTCGTGTCCACTGCAGGACAGACGGTTCGTCCTAACGTCCCCTGCAGGACCGACGGTTCGTCCTAATGGTCTCGTTCAGGCCATGCGGTCGAAACTATTGACCTGCGTCTTGATGTGGTTCAGTTTTTGCTTCAGATATTTACACCTCCGCTTCTTCACCTGATAATCTGAAGACTGTAGGGACAAAATAAAACGTGTAAGTCCCAGAAAAGACCCGACTAACAAACAAAAAGAAGTTTAATTCAACGGGTCTTCTAAACAGGTCGTATTCAGTTTCTCATGAACATTTAAGCAAATCTTACAGTACATGCGCCATTATCGAGAATTCAGACGCTCAGAGATTTATCGTGAAGGCAAACGTCCAGTTTAGCTCACTGAAGTGGACAAAGTCTTCAACGTGTCCTGCAGCTACGTCGAGCTTCAGGACGTTCCTCAGAACGAGGGTCAGTCTCTTGTAAAACAGGAAAAAGAAATGCTACATGATGTTTTTGAGTGTTTGGGTTCCTCCAGTCCCTGAATTTGAGTTTTAGTTTCATGATTCTTGGTGACGCTGATTGCAAACATTAAATGGGACCAATTTGTCTGAAACTCGGGATTCTGTCGGTCACAGTTGAAGCGTAGCTACAATAAAAACTACACACCTCTATTTTCTTTGTTGGTGGGAAGACTTGAAAATTCATCAGAGTATCAAATACTTATTTTCTACACAATATACACAGTATACACAGTATATATAGTGAAGCGCTCAACGTTCACGTTACAGCCGGAAAACTATATTTTTTGTCTCCGATCAAGCAGAATTGAACTTGTGCGCTCTTCTCTCACCACAAAGTGCACCACTTCCTAAATTGGGACTCTACAGCAGTTTATATAGTTTTACTTCCTCTCTTTATGTCCTATGTCCTTTATAAAGAAACTAGAGCGTTTCTGGAGAAACTTTGATGAGAACTGCCACACTGCAGCCATTTTATTTTTTTGATTTGACAGTACTATATGTTGAGGTTCATTCTTAGTTACCAACACACCAAATTTCAGCTCAATATCTCAAAGAATGATCGAGTTATAGCCAAATTGGAGTTTTCTGAGGTAGCTGTGGCAGCCATCTTGAACCAAAATGGCTCCAAAAGTTATTAAGTGTTTTGTTCCGAGACCTCTCCACTCGAGGTCATGTGACCTCACTGTGGCAGTTAGAGGCTTGTCAAGTGTTCAGTCAGGCGTTTTGAATGGGAAAAATGGCGTCTTTGTTTGTAAATTACGTCGTCATGGTAACGCAAAATGCCAATAATAGTAACAGCACACATCAAGGAGCTGAGCCGGTCATTTTGATACCACTTGTGGGGGTACACGTTGCGGTTCGGGCCACATTAAAGTTGATACAAGAGCATGACCCTTTTTAGGCGGATAATAATGGGGGCGGGGCTTCCTTTCAAGGCAGTCCCCAGTGAAGGAAACGTGCTGCCCACAATGGGAGATTGGCCGAGTCGTGCATACAGTGACGCTCCGGTACAAATCCGTGGACCGCTGAAGCCCTACTGCCCGTGTTTTCAAAAGTAATATCGAACCAGGATTATAAAGAGTTTAAGAACTTTAGGTGAGATACAAACCTTTTTGAGGCTCCTTATCCTGTTGTACTCATCCAGAGCGTCCTGTCAATCAGCAGAGAAACGTTTCAAAAACAAAATTCAGTCTCAGATTTTAAAACACCAAATTCACACAACTCTCCTCCATGTCTACGCAGCTCATCTGAGTCATATAGAGACTAATCGGTGCTTTAGTGACTGCACACTGATGGAATTGAACCTACGACTCTCCTGTTGGAGGGCAACTGCTCTGAACACTGAGCCGCACAACGTCTAACAGTCCTCCTCGGTATATGGCCTTCTCACCAGGTACTGAGGACTTCCGTCCTCCAGCTGGTCCAGCTCGTTGTCCAGCTCCGACAGGTTCTTGTTCACGGTGTCCAGTTCTGCCTGCAGGTCTTTGTACTCCTGGTGGTCCCGGTCAAACTCATGCTTGTAGTCGTTGCGTTGCTGTTCGTTTTTTATCGGAGGGAACTCACTGAAAGAAAGACGGGACAACACCAGACTGACTGAAATCTGACAGAAAGGAACCAACCTGCAACGCTTCGATACGAGTTTCTTTCTGGTGACTGTATTTTATATTTTCGTACCCGTCAAAGTCGTTGTCGTCCAGTTCGTCACCAGAGGAGTTATAATCCGTGTCGTAATCCTGCCCATCAGTGCGGCGAGGACGGCCTGGACGCCTCTTTTTGGGACGTCCTGCTGAACTTGTGATCTCAGAGTTAGCGCTGTAAGGAGTGGCACTTTGCACGGGCCGATCTTCGACAACAGGTCTGTGTGACAACACATTCAAACATTATTCTGATTCACATGCACATGGAAACAAAGACAGAGACTCAAACGTTTGGTATAGACTTAAAGGTCACAAAAGACCTGCTCTGTAAAAGGAAGTGAAATAGAACTTCCTCTTTCCTGATTATAGACAGATAAACAAGTTGTTGGTTAAAGTTGGCCTAGCTGCAGGTGGCACCTTGGATAGCTTTTCTATCCTGATGTATAAGTGGTAATCCAATGTCCTCCGTCGCTGGGTGATTTGAACAGTGAATGTTTGTAGTTTTTGGACCAAGGTAATAAAGTGGGTAGGAGTTACGCTGTGTAGAAGAATGGAGGTCGTTTATTTTTCCTTTTCTTGTCTGATGCAGCAAAGAGTAACAGACCCCGGAGAGTGGAGGGAGTAGTTTTATCCACCATCAGGACCTAAGTCTGCAGTTTTAGGTAGGATTCTATGTCGCCCGCTCTGGCCCCCGGAATGCATTTAACTATGGTCGCTGGAGTCCCTAAAGCCACGTTTTGGACAATGGAGATGCGAATGACCAGGGTCTGCTTCTCTGCGGTTGTGTCACTGAGCGAGGAAAATCGATTAGCAAGGTGAATGAATCGGTGGTGAACTGGGGGCTTAGCCTTAGCACTACAGTGTTTCCCCTAGGTTACTTGCCTTGGCAAGGCCCTCATCTCTTTGAGGAGTTTTGTTGGGGATGGGGGGCGCGTGAGAGAAGTGGAGCGCCACATCAGCTGTAGCTTTACGTCTGTATTGCGTGCAGCTAGCTTAGCGCTACGTCAGTGCCAGCAGTTGTCGACGGGGTGGGAGGTGGAGTTGTTGGCGAAGGACATTTTGGTAGGCAGGGCGTTCGGTTCTGTTGACAGGGCGGGGCGCCCTTCTTGCACAATGGTATGGGAAACACTGCACTACACTTACTCTTGACCGTCACTCAGCCGGCCTGGGGTCCCGACTACTTGGGTTCTGCTGGAAGACCACTAACGGGAGCTAGTCTCAGTGGCTCAGCGCTGTCTAAGGAGACCTAGCTAACGGGTTTTATACAGCGTGGAGCAGAGCTTCCAGTTCAGACAGCCACTCCTCCAAAGCTACCATAAGACTACATTTGTTACATGTATCGATACTGCTAATGGAGTCAGAAAAATGCTTAACATCTGACACAGAGCAAGTGAGAACAGAAGCCGGGAGAGAACCAGAAGCCATGCTAAGATACTGCTAGCACGAGCTAGCAGATCCCAAATACACGAATAAAACCAAGACGTGTTGAAAGACAAAATGTGTTTCAGGGACAATCCAACAGTAGAAAACAACTGTATTGAGGGTGTTTGTGTACTAAAATGTAAAACTGTGCAAAAGATTGATGAATCCAGAAGAATAAGACTCCGCAAGCAAACAAATTACTCAAGCTACAGCAGAGAAAACAGGATGTGACACAATATGCAGTGTTTTCCCTACCGTTATCCAAGGAGGACGCTCTGCCCTGTTAACAGAACCAAGCCCCCCACCTACCCCCCGCCCCAACTGCGCAACTGCCAGCACTGACATAGCACCAAGCTAGCAGCATACAATACAGACACGCTAGCTAAAAAGTTACAGACGTAGCGCTCCGTTTCTCTCACGCATATTCCTCCGCCCTGTCAAAAATCTGCTAAGACATGAGCGCCCTGCCAAGGCCATTCACCTAGGGGAAACACTGATGCGTCTTACCACGAACGTGCAGCATCAGAGCTCCTTATCAACCGATAAGCATCCAGGTAAGAATCTTACATGGAACTCCATATTCTGAATAATGGCACCAAGAGTTGAGCCATTCTTTGTGCAGATGTATTACCTGGTTCCTCAATCCCTAACCCACCCTGTACACATGGCCACCTGATATACCACAACACTTTATTTATAAAAGTGCTTAAAACAGCAACAAGGCCCACCAAAGTGGTATCACTAGGGTCTTTGTTTGGGCTGGGTTGTTTGGTGAGGTTTTGGTTGCTTCAATTGTTGACGGTTTAGACTTTTTTCTGGTCTTTAAGGTTTCAAGCCTCTCTTGCTAAAAATCTGTGATCTTGATGAGATCTGTTCCTAAAGACTAAAGTTAAAATGAATGGGTGGGATAAATGTTTCATCTGTGGATTGTCGAGCACGGTTGTGGGTCAGTTCTCACAGGGGGGTGTAGCTGACGGGAGGTTTGTCGTAACTAATGGTCTCATCGTCCAGGTAGCTCCTGGAGCCGCGCAGCTTCTCGGGGTAGTCCGCCACCAAAGCAGCCGGAGGAACAGCAGACACGTCGTTCACCTTCACACAAGAGTCAAAAACAAGTTTTAGTAAACACTTCCAGCTAAAACTATCCACAGCTTTTAGCCTGAAAATCTTCATTCTTTAAAATAAATCATTTTATAGAGACTAATCAGTGCTTCAGAGGTCCCCCAACCCTGGTCCTTGTGGTCCACTGTACTGCATGTTTCCCTGATTCGACACACCTGATTCAAATATTATAATCACCTAGTCAGAATGTCACCAGGTTTAGCAACAGCCAGTCAATGACTCGTTCGTTTCAGTCAGGTGTGTTGAAGCAGAGAAACGCTGAAACCATACAGGACGGTGGACCACAAGGATTTGAGTTAGGGACATCTGCTTTATATCACATTCAGACATAGATGAGACACATGAGGGGTTCAGTGTCTCGCCCAGGGACACTTTGACATGTGACTGCATACTGGAAGAATCGAACCCCCAACTCTCTCATTGAGAATGACCACTAACCACTTAGCCACGCCCACCCCACAAATCTTTGTGATACATTTAAACATTCAAAGTTCTTAGACTCCAAAACAAAGACTAAAATAGGAGACGGTATGAAGCCAGTATGACGACGCCCATTGAACCATCCTGAACTCCCCACAGCTTCTCTGAGGGCACTGGACACGCCTCTGGATGTTGGAGGACCACGCTCCAGCTTTGGGCACGTATGGGTTTTCTGTTGTTCCCGGTTGAACAGGATGTCAAACCCATAGGTGTTGTGTTAACTATATGTGAAGAGAACGTGTCCCCCTAAAATAAAATAAAAACATTTGTTTGGACCCCCGACATTTACCATTCATTCAACCTTTATTTCTACAGATTAGTCTCATTGATCCACGAGGACTCATTTACAAGAGACCTGATTTAAACAAAGAACACAGATGAGGTACAGACAATAGACAATCATATAAAAAATATAAAATGAAAAGCACATTAAATGACACAAAAGCAAAAACAGCTACATTATAAAGCGATGTAGAAAACTAAACACAGGAACACGTCTGCGCTGGGTTTTGCCATGAACTTAGATGTTTAAAATCCCTTAGAGAGGTCGAGAGTTGGAAATATGAGTTCATCCAGCGCCGTTTCTATTGATACATGAACTAATCCATTCCACTTGATTAATAGGGGCAGTAAAAGTCCACTCCGGGTTTTCCTGGTTACCTATAAAACCACAGCAGTGTTCCCCCGAGGTCACTGGCCTTGGCAGGGCGCTCATCTCTTCGGTGGGGTTTGTCAACGGGACGGGGGAGGAGGCGGAGACCCCTTTTTGTTGAGTGCTACGCTAGTGTTGGCAGTTGTAGATTGGGTGGGTGGGGGTGATGTTAGGATGCGTGAGAGAAGCGGAGCGTGCAGTGTGCACCCCCCCCCCCCCCCCCCACACACACACACACATTACAAATGCTTCTGATGCCGATGGTCAAACCTCCAGATTAAACATACAGTTTCTGAAGTCGGTTGATGAAATCAAGAGGACTTGTTTAAAGAAGTTGTTTGTGTTTGGTGTGAGAAGCCCCGCCCCTAAACCTTTTTCAGCACACCTGAATGTCTGTCCTGTCGCCAACAGCAGAACAGAACCTCAGCACTTCACGCTGGTTCCCACCAACACCAGGAACTGCATCGTTTGACTCGGTGTCGTGTTGCTGCCGAGCCGTTTTTCTCTTTAGAGGAAAGTAGCAGTCCAACCTGTTTTTCCAGTTGTCCCCTCTAAAGTAGACTCGACAACATGAAGGACTCAACGCTACTCTCTTGAAAACATCCCAAAACAGATGTTAAAATTACACACAGTATGTCAGCGCAGCCACTTCATGAAATCTGACCAGGACGACCGATGAGTTTTTACTACAGGAGCTGCTCCAGCTCTGTCGGCGGTGAGACTGAAACCGGCGTGTGTGCGGGGCCGCACCTTGAAACTGAATCTCTGATTGTAAACAGGCCGTCACGGAGCCGGTCTGACCACCTGCTCCCTCCCCCTCACTGTGACTCAACAGAAAATATGCAGCTGCCGGATCCTTCGAGAGATTTCAATCAAGAGTTCGGTTCTTTTCTGGTCTATGGAGGGACAAACCTGAAGGTGTCCAACACTTCGTCCACTGGGAAGGTCCAGACTAAAATCAGACTTTATGGGGACTGCCTAGAGGCAGCCACCTCTTATCATCCACCTGAAGAGTCTTGCTCTTCCTTTAACTTTAATGTGACTCATATCAACGTGCACCCCCACAAATTTACATCCAAACAACGGGCTCGGCACCGTGATGTGCTGCTACTTTTACTGGCGTTTCAAGTTACCATGGCGACGTAACTCGCAAACAAAAAGGACATTTCTCCTCATTGAAACAAACTATAAATCAGCCATTTTTAGAAATATAAAGCTAAAATTTGGTGCCCCATAAATACTGAATTCAATTGAAAAATTCAAGATGGCCACCAAAGCTAAATTTAAAATGGCTTAAAATCAGCTATTTTTACACGGAGCTGAAATTTGTTGAGGTTATAGCTGAGAACGTCCCCATCACATACTGAATCGAAATCAAAAATCCAAGATGGCCGTCATAGGTTAAAAAAAAAGGTGTAACTCGTTGATTTTTACACATATTGAGCTGGAATTTGATACGGGGGTAGATGAGAGGGAACCTCAACACAGTCCTGTCAAATCAAACATTTGAAAATGGCCACGATGTGACGGCCCCCGTCACTTTCTCCAGGAACATTCTAGTTCTCTTTAATATTTTACAGCTGCTGAATATCTAAATCCAAAGTTTCATTCTTTCCACTTGTTCATTTTAACCACTACCTGACGTCCAAATGTTTGCTAAATTGTCTAATGTTTGTACAATAGTTCTGCTTTAATAGATTGTACTTAGACCCCTCCTTTATTTTTCCTTCCAAAATTTGATCAACGTTCCAAAACTTCTTGTGAGGAGAAACATCTACCTCATGCAACAAGTAGTTTTACTTAAATACTCACGTCTTCTCTTAAAACCTTGTGAATATTTCACATTTAAAAGTCTTACTGCTGAGGCAAAATACTGAATAATTATGTTTTTAATCATGGCCCTAATTAATTAACGTTGTTGTATTTTCGTCAATGACATTACGGAGTTCTCACAACAAAGAACGAGTCTGGACTCGTTTCTTTGTCTCCACAGGCAGAGACCAGCCACTTTATTAGGAACGTCTTGCACCAGGTCGGACTTCTTTTAGCCTTCACAACATCTTGAATTCATAAATTCACTGAAGTGTTGGAAATGTTCCTCAGAGGTTTGGTCCATATTCACATCATGTGGATGCTGCAGACTGATCAGATGAACGTCTGTCTTCTGTTCCACCACATCCCAGAGTGTTCAGAGGAGGTGATGTGTTGGAGAATCTGCAGACAGCAGTGACACCAGGTGTCTTCTGCTGCTGTGGTCCACCTGCTTCAAGGCTGGACGTGTTCTGCAAACCTTAGTTTGGTTATTTGACCTGCTGCCTTTCTGTCGTCTCCAACTAGTCTCACATTCTCCTCTCACATTAGGAAGACCATTTTGTCCAAAGAGCTGCCGCTCGTTGAATATTTTCTCTTTTGAACAATTCTCTCCAACCCTCAGAGATGGTTGTGTTTAAACACTGCAGGAGATCAACGGTTTCTAAAGAACCAGCTCTTCGTGCCACACCCGCTCCCTCCACCGCCCTGATGCCGTTTGAACATCAGCCGGTCACATCTGCACCACTGAAACAATGAAACACCTAATAAAGTGCTCTGTGAGTGCATGTCTCCACAAACAGCCCAGATGATGCTTCATCATTTCAGCTACTAGACTTTACTTCTAGCAACACCTGAACATCCACATAAGAGGATTTAGAACTCTAAAGTCTCTGTCATCATCAAAGGGTGATGAGTTCATCGTTTGTGCTGTTCAAATCATTTCTGTACATTTTTAACCCAAACATCTTTTAGGGACTTACCCACGCCTCCACTGAGGTCCCCTGAGGTGGTCCAATGTCATCTACAGGCTTCACTTTCTTCCAGAAAATGTTGCTCTTGCCAAAGCTTTGAATTTTCTGACGAGTCTTGAGCGCGAAGACGAGCATGATGATCAGAGCGGCGGTCACCAGGAAGCCGAACACGATGGCGATGGCCTGAGATGAAGGACAAAGAAACGAGTCAGGAGCCACCAACCAAAGATCTGAAACACAGCTGGATGTGCGTGCTCACCTCCTGTGGCTCCACCACACAGTAGTGGTAAAGGTACTGATTCACAAACACTCCTGACAACTGTGGTTGTTGGTACTGAGCACACAGACCGGCAATCTGGTTGCCATAAATGGACCCAGTTGATTGAGCCGTGGGGTTTACTGCCATCAAGTACACAATGGAGGCAATGAGCATGAACAGTGCAAGGATGGCGCAGATGATCACCACAGCCAAGTAGAACTTCCTGCTCTCCGACAGGCTCTTGTGAGACACAATGATGATGAAGACCACCAGGACAAATATGCCCACAATGATTGCCATTACAATCATGAACGCTTTGCCTGACCGGGGGTCGTTGTAGTTTCCTCCGAGTGAGCCGTAGCCATAGTTGTTTCCAGCTCCATATGCACCGCCTCCAAAACTGTTGTATCCGCCGCTCATGGTTCCGTAGCTTCCACCGTAGCTGCCCCCATAGCCAGCCATGACTCCCTGACTGTCCCACGCCAACGTTGAGGCAACGCAGGCAAATATGGCCACGCACAACACGATGACGAGGATGGCCATGATTTTCAGGATGCCCGGGGGGGACGTCCAGCGATAGAAGTGCTGGAACTCATCATCGGGGTAGTAAGAATAGGCCGGCTGAGACGCAGCAACACTGCTGTAAAGAACAAATTAATAATGCTGTGACAACTTGGATTTACATCGTTTCACATATTTTGTCTGACGGAACAACGTAGAAAATTTCAAATAACTTTATTTACAGTTCAGAGAATCTACAGAGCTGAGGGTTTGTCCTTTACAGTGTTTCATTTAGACACATTTAAATGTTTTAGATCAAACAAATTTAAGGGTTTTTACTCTACAGAAGGCCACACTAATCTATAAAACAATTTAAAAACTGCAATTTTGCATTTTGTCTAGATATTCAGGGTGTCTCTGCTTGATATTACCATATGTTTAATTAACAATAACTTTAAGGTCTTAAAAAAAGTGTAAACAGGTTATATGTGCATATTTATATATAGTAGTCCCTCGTTTATCTTGGGGGATCCGTACCCTGAAGCCCCGTGACGAGAAAAAAACCGCCAAGTTGGAACGCTCAAAAGATCACAACACGTCATGATTTCAGCTCTCGGACACGCCCACTTTTCAGCTGCAGCCACGCCCACTTTTCAGCTGCAGCCACGCCCACTTCTCCGCTGCAGAGCGAGACATGACTCGATGCAGGAGGAAGCTTCTCTGCAGCTGTGGGCTGCACACAGGTCCTAAATTATTTTAAATTAAAATTCCATGCCGATCGTGCAGCTCAGCCATCAATCATCCAGTTGTGTCTCCAATCTTATTTTGGAAAACAGCGATACAGCGAGTCCGTGAAAAACAAACCACAAAGTAGCGAGGGACTACTATACACACATTTGCGTGTATGCGCATACGTGAATGCACACGCATATATACATATACATATGTATACACATAAGCATGTATGTGTATGTGTGTGTGTAAATAAATGTACACAGACGTCATGTATACCCACACGTACACACACATTTACACACATACAGCAGGTGAAATAAGTATTGAACGTGTCACCAGTTTAGTAAGTAAATATAATTCTAAAGGTGCTGTTGACATGAAATGACCACCTTGTGTTGGGAACAAGCCATCCAACACACAGACAAATAAAACAAACATAGATGTCCATAAATTAAGTTGTGTAATAATGAGAAACGACAGTAGAAAAAGTCTTGAACACATGAAGATGAAAAGTCATGAAAAGTCATGACAGCTGCTGAAATCTGTTAGTAATAAAAAAGCAAACGTGCCAGTGAATAAGAACATCAGCTGCCACACGACTCCGCTGCTGAAGGAAAAGCATGTTCAAGCACGTTTAAAGTTTGCTCAACAACATGTAGACACGTCTGAAGTACTGCGAGCGTACAGCATCTACTCTGGTGAGATGAGGACACAATTTAACTCTTTGTGTGCCATAACCCGTGCCCCCATGTCTGGAGGACAAAAACACCACGACAACGTGACGTTTGGAGGTGGGAACATCATGGTGTGGGAATGTTTTTCAGCATGCAACACTGGTAAACTTCATTTAATTGGAGGAGGAATGAATGGAAAAATGTACCATCTTGAAAAAATCTGCTGCCATCAACCAGGATGATGAAGATGAGACGAGGGTGGACATTTCAGCAAGACAATGAGCCCAAACACAGCCAAGGAAACGCTCTACTGGTTTCAGTGGAAGAAAATAAAGCTGATCGAATGGCCCAGACAGTCACATGACTTGGATTCAATAGAAAAATCTATGGACGGAACAAAAGGTCATCGAAGGAGCCACAGAACCTTCAGGGTTTGAGGAGTGTTTGTGTGGAGGATGGGTCAGAATCACACCTGAGCTGTGCATGCGACTAGTTTCTCCAAGCAGGAGGCGTCTTGATGCTCCTCCAACAAAAGCTTTTGTACGAACTATTAAACACATTTCAGTAAATCATGTGTTCATTACTTTCCTTGTGTCATTTCTCATTTTTACAGATACACATGCAAATACAATATATCATCCATAGGTAAGGCAGCACATGCACACTGTCTACATGCAAAGTGTGTACAGTACATGTCATGGTATTGGCTGTAAGTTTGATGAACACATATGGAGTGAGACTTACTATCCTTTCTCCTCCTCATAAGGAGGTGGACTCCCATTGGGCCTGGAGGACATTACTGCTGGATCCAGTGAGTGCTGACCTGGAACAAAAAAACAAAACACCACCTGTAAGAAGGTTTCTATGTTGGAGGACACGTTAAAATAAAGGCCAAGCATCCTTTGAAGACTGTGATTCACCTCTTTGTGCCAGAGTTAAACACAGAGATTATTTTAGGTCGAGTAAACAGCTGACAGACACTCCAGGGAAACAACGTTATGCGTGAAATATCTCACAAGATGTCTGTGAGCGAGGTGCTGAAAATGTTCGTAAAAACATCTTGTAGTAGATTGGTGCCGTTCTTTAGGACCCGTCCAAACAGGTTATGTGGCCCTGCAGCTTTGTTCATCCTCAAAGTCCTTTGAACACCTTCAGCAGAAGCTACAGCACCCACCTTCAGACTCTGGGAGAAGGATCTGTCTGTGCGGGACTTGCCTCAAAACGTGCATAGAAATTATTTCAGTGATCTGGCAGAGAGGAGTTCTTAAAGTACATCTGACGGGACATGGCTTTTCATCATAATGATGTTAAAACCTGCCACGAGGAGCGGACCTCCCTAACCATAGAGAAGAATACTGCAAACATAGAGAGGAATACTGCAGCCAAAGAGAGGAATACTGCAACCAAAGAGAGGAATACTGCAACCAAAGAGAGGAATACTGCAACCATAGAGAGGAATACTGCAACCAGAGAGAGGAATACTGCAACCAAAGAGAGGAATACTGCAACCAAAGAGAGGAATACTGCAACCAAAGAGAGGAAGACTGCAACCAAAGAGAGGAATACTGCAACCAAAGAGAGGAATACTGCAGCCAGAGAGAGGAATACTGCAGCCAAAGAGAGGAATACTGCAACCAAAGAGAGGAATACTGCAACCAAAGAGAGGAATACTGCAACCAAAGAGAGGAATACTGCAACCAAAGAGAGGAATACTGCAACCATAGAGAGGAATACTGCAACCATAGAGAGGAATACTGCAACCAAAGAGAGGAATACTGCAA